GATTTTGAGCAATTTTGTTGGTTAAAACGAAATATAATGCACAGAAAGAAAATGATCCTATGTGCCTTTAAACAGCTGCACTTAATAAATCCTATTAATTCCTATACCACCCCAAGGCGCCCTGCGTGTTTTTCATGGGCGCCAATCGGTGGGGGATGGGGATACATGTCCCCCCTCCCCCCACTTTTTAAAGTGGGGGTATCATATCGTTTGTCCCCCTCCGCCCCCACTTTTTTTCATCGACGACTAATAAGTGTGGCCTATATTTCATTTTATAGCTCGCAATAGCTGATTCAATGACTCCAAACTCAAAAGTGATGTTTAAATGATGATCATTTCCTCAAAAAAAATTTGGTTAAAGTGGTTATAAATTGCCACAGATCGCGTAACAGAGCATCTAGAATCCAAAATTTTTCGGTGCCCTTACTGCGGGACTCGGACCCCACGCCATTAGGGCTTCACGCTTGCATTACATGTAGTTCTGATCAAGGTATGGTCCCCCCCCCCACACTTTTGAAGCGAATGACGCCCTGCCTGTTTTTCCTTATGCCGCCCCAGCACACTATGGTTTTAAGGATTTCTCAAGGAGTAAATGGAATGCACTATACTGTACTGCAAGTGCTATTGGGTTAATGTGTGCACAGATTTTTGTGTAATCACAGCAGGAAATATAAGTTTCCCCTGAAGGGAAATTAAGTGCATCAGGCAAATTTGATTTGAGCTGCAAGCCGAAACAAGGATACTTGTTATGTCTTTTGTTATGTGAGCCAACATGAAAAATGCTTGTTGTGTTTTTCTTTTTCACTTTACGACAATGAGGTGTATCAAACTGAAATGTTAGAAAAACCAAGTTAAAGACTCGCGACCCATTTTTCTTGAGTTGGTCCATATACATTTTTTTTTTTGAAATTAATGTTTATTTTTCTAGGTATTTATTTTCATTGACTCTGCTATGCAAACATGTATTCGGTGCAAGGTTGTCCTTTCAGTCAATATCAGTCAATTAACAGTTAAGAGGAATAAGAGTTTCCAGCCTACAATAAGCAGGATTGACTGGCTGTGACTGTTTATGTAACATGATACATCTGTGCTTTGACTGTAGGTGATTGATAAGCCAGCTGTGCCAACTTCTTGTCTGCTTTTGTCTGTTGACTGAATTTGACTAGTCACAGTGCCTGCGTGAAATATGATGTGACTGTTGGTGACTAGCCTGTGTAAAAGGCCTGGTAGAGGAAGAGGATTCATTTTTTGACTGTCTGTGACTGTTCAGATAGCAGGAAGTTTAACTCCCAAATCAAATTACCGTAATCACAAAAAGCTTTATTGCTTATTGTGCATATACGTAAATTATAACTATAAGTCATTTTTTATTTTTCCTTTCTTTGTGGATGCGTTTGTGTATTTGGTCACACTCTTGATTATACAGGGCACAAGCCATTCACCGTGTTGCCACAAATCTAGAGATTTTGATTGTTTTTGTAGTCTGTTCTAATTCTGTGAAAGAACATCTATACAATAAGTTCTATTAATGGGACGCATCCCCTATGAAATTCAGCCGTGAATTTCATCAAACAAGATGAACTTTGAACATGTCAACATGAAAAATTGGACTTAATCAACTGCGGTAATTCCAAATTAATTTTTTCTGTAAGGCCTCAAGTGCTAGCTAGACCACTGGAACTCTCTGTTACCCCACGTTCCTTCAAGACCCCCCTCACCCCCCCCCCCCCTCGGGATATGTGCAATTCCCAGATAAGGCCCCAAACCGACAAAACAGTTCTCTCGAAGCTTAGAACATAGGCGAGGTCCGCGGGAAGGCCCTTAACCCAGAGTTGCCGTTTTGACAGTCATGTAATCATTACCATGCCTAGTTACTTCATGATACGTATATCAACACCTAGCTGGCTGTTCGTGCATATGGGTCCTGGGGCTTTTGTAGGTTTGGATATGCCTCGCTGAAAGCAGTGAACATCCTGAAACGGACTTGTGGTCAAGTTTTTGAGATGGGGGAAGGGGGGGGGGGGGGATACGTGGGAGAACAAAGCCTTACAGCCAACTTCTGGCTGGGTAACTGTTGAGGTCAAATCAAATCCTGTGGTCAGTCATTAAGCTGGGGGGGGGGGTCCAGGAGGGGGTTCAAGGGGGGGTTGATAGGGGAGGGGAGTCGTTTCTTTGTTTACAGGAAAGAGGAACAAAGTTGAATTTCAGCCGGCTTCTGGTTCCGTTCAGGGTCAAATCCTGTGGTCAGTCATCTCCTTGAAGCTGGGGGAGGTCGGTAGGGGGGGGGGGTTGTTTCAGGGAAGTCTTTTTCCTTTTTTCATGGGAAAAAGAAACAAAAGTTTAATTTGAGCTGACTTCCTGTTGGGTCAGTCATTTTCTATAAGCTGGGGTTGGGGATGGGGGGGGGGAGATGTTTGTCTTTTGTTCATGGGAAAGAGGAACAAAGTAGAATTTTTAGCCAACTTTTGGTTTAGTGATAGGGTCAAATCCGGTGGTCAATTAGTTTCTTGAAGCTGGTTATTGTAACATGACATCCCTGGGCTTTCAGCATGGTAGAGGAATTGTTGTTTTTGGACCTGGAGCAGGTCAGTAGTGGAAGCTTAAATGATCGCCTGGAAAGAACTATTTCTGACACAAATTTAGAATGGTCAAAATAACCCTTCCATCCATGACACAACTCTTGTTCGGAAGGGGGGGGGGGAGGGGGTTTCCTTTATATTCTGCAGTATTATTGTTATAGTTTTGCTTCAAAAGAGGAGTTATTTGAACATCACCAAATAAGAACGCATGACCAGTCGGCAAGCAAAATGGCATAAAGATATTCCCTCTCGTCACAGGCATACATGTTGTAAATGTGTTGGGAAAAGGGTGTTTATCCCCTTAATGTGTGCCCCATTTGACAGATATCAGTCAGTAGGTTCCCCTCATTACCCCCTGAGAATTTTCAATGGTTCCTTCCCCCTCCCTCCAATTAATGGATGTAATATCTTACTCCGTAAAAATTACAAGTACTTCAAATTATAAAATCCTCAATGGATTAGAGCTGTGCATCAGAACCAGGTACTTGAGAACCCGGCCGTTAATGTCAGGAACCAGTTTCAGATTATGGGATCGGGTACCCGTAAGCAACTTTAAAAAAAGAAAGAACTTTGAAAAAGAAAGGTTTTAAATGTCATTTGTGGGGAATTTTCAAAATGAAAACCAGGCTACATTGAAAAACAAAACAGGTTTCACGTTTGCGATGCTCACGGAAGTTGCAGTTTTCACCAGAAGTTGTAAAACTCACTGTACACACTTGTATCTTGCTGTATTGCCGCACAGATGTGGTAGTATTATCGTGCGGACCTTTACGAACAATCTCAACAGCAACTTCCGAGATTTGAATTTTGGGGTTGGGTTTCTTTAGCGGGTACCAGGGTACCCGTATTTTTTTCAATCGGGTACCCATACCGGTACTTCCCGTAAATGCACACCCCTAGGGGATGAGGTTCAGGTACAGATTGTAAAGTGACTGGCTTTTTGAAACACATACAATTACTGCAAAGGAAAGGAAAAAGAATCAGTTTTGCCCAGAAAATCCAGCTGTCAAATTTTTGTCCAGGGATCATGCCCTTGGGAAGGCCACCCCTCCCTCCACCCATCCTCTTGGGCTGAACCTGGATCAATCCATCAAATACAGACGCATACTCTGTTGAAAGCTTCATGATTTTGATGTTGTGTTTAGGGCAGGTTACGAATTACACATAGACACATATTTCCTTAAAGGCGTATAGGATCATATGATGTTTACACAGTTTGTTCGTAGCCAATAATAAGACCACTCAAAATCCAAAGAAGAATGTTCAAAACCCTTAATAGCTGTTGAAGAATCAGCTCAGTGGCTATTACAGTTTTCAAGAAAACAGTAGAAAACATACACCATCTTTTGATCACGAAACATCCATAGCACTCTGTATTCAGTCAATTGACTGATCGTTGGAAATAACCTATATTTCTTAATTTCTTCTAATTGACAGCAAGCCAAATTGAATAATTTCACAGACTGTTTAGTACCGGTACCATCTTTGGTCCAAGTAAGCTCTTTGATAATAAGTTGGTAGGTTACCGTACTTTTGGGATAAATGCAAATTTTCCCGTATGCCTTTAAGGCAGGCTGAACTGCACGTACATGCTGTACTTTCTTAATGTTCAGCCGAGACATTCACTCAGGTGCAGATTTACACCTGGAAATTTGTAATGTTGGAAGGAAATTGGGGGGTTTTACCTTGTTGTTTGCAGGTGTGAAACTCCAGTTGATTGATTAGGTGAGCAGTAACAATGACTCATGAAAATCATGCGCAATTTCACAGGGTTTCACCCGCACCTGAAGCGTTCTTGTTTGCTGGTCGCCATCCGACGATGGGCAATAAATCTTCACACCAAGCCCCTTATCCAATTAAACAAATTCTTTCAGTCGGGCCATGGCATGACAGTTTGCTCATTGCACGGCCCATGCACCTAAGGCTACATGAAGCTTCGTTTCAGACAAGGTTTTGTTTAGAAAGAGACATGAAACACCTGTTTATGTATCCAGTTTTGACATTGCCCTTTGGCATGACTTAATTGAGAAGAATTGATCATGAAGCCAGAACGTATATGTGCACTGTCTTTTTTCAGTTGTAATTGGCTATTTAAGAACCATTTTTAAAATAATTTTGATCGTCAACATTTGCTTCAAGCCTCTGAATGGTACCTCTATAAGCAATTTACTTTAAAATGTGGCATTCTTCAGGAATCTCTGCTGTGAATAACATTTATTCACATATTTTTTATTTAGCTGTTTTGTGTGAAGTTGCCTAAATAGAAAATTTGTGAAATTTGTATTACTGCCAGTTTTAGCCGAATACTTGTTGCCGATCCAAACTCAGAAACAGGACAGTTTTGTGTAGGTCACAAACTAGACAATGTCCAAATAACTAAAAAGAATGTCTCTTTTTCTCATTATTTGTCTCTTTCTGCAGGACTACCTGACAGCATTTGACAAGAACCTAGCCGACATCGACTGTCAGCAAGAGGAGCAACTAACGGCCGAGAAGCGATGGTCAGAGAGCTGGCAGAGGTCGGTCAAGAAAGTCAAAGACTTGTATTAATATAGACAATTGAGGAAAGTATCGAATCCTGTACAGTTGATAGAATATTGTAAATAACATCCGGCAAAAGATGAACCTGTTGTAGCATCTATAATCAGGTGGTCAGGTGACTATAGTCAGGTGTCCGACGACCACATGATCATTAATGGTTGCATGATACATCCAGTGTACACATGTATGGTTACTCAAAAAGTGGCCAGTCAGATGTCTTTTCAAATGTCTCAGTCAGGTGACTAGTCAGGTGTCTGATCAGATGTCTGATCAGGTGACTGGTCAGCGGTTTTGTCAGGAGGCGGTTCTTCTGCATCCCAAATAGACCATTATCATGTTGCGGCCATCATGATGTTTTCCCATTCAAATCAACGTAACCAAAGCGAGGCTGGAAGGAAAAATAGTCTGGTTCCTTTTTGCAAAAAGAGCATTATCATTCAGCACTGTTATTGGATACAGGGAGCATGACTAAAATGGTGGCAGCATGATAAAGGTATAGCCTTAACTCTCACAGCATTTTGAAAGCACTGTGCATTTCCATATTGACGCTCTGAGCCCGTCTTCTCAAACTGGAGCAGATGCTAAGGTTTAATCATTTGTACATACAGTCATTCAAAGCATACCAATCTGGGGATTGTAAAGCGGCATTCGCTTAATGGGCATTTTTTTTACCAATTGAGTCTAATTGAGTCATTTGGATGAGAAAATTGTACCAATTTAGAAATTCATTAAAAAATTATTTCAAATCTGAACCAGTATGATTAAATTGTTCAGCTTGTACCTACTACCCAATCCAAGGGCTCCGATGACCGTTTTTTCTTCCAGAAAATGCAGATGTTGCAAAGCATTACACTTGGTTGCTTGCGATGATCAATACATTTATATTCTACATGTATGTGCATAGTTCCTGCGCACATGGAAGTGTTAACCCAAAGACACCAAGTAAACAAAACCATCCGATGAGAGCGCTACCGAAGTAAGAGTACATTATAACACCTGACCGACAGATTCTGTATCTTGATTGGCTGAGAGTGAGTCACATGGCATTTGCTATTTTAACTATCTTGCTGTGCACGGCCAAAAAGACTACACATCTGCCGCGGCCTGAAAAAGCACTAAAAACAGAAACCAAAGTAACAAGAGTTCAGTGTCAATGAATTTCATATTGAAATACAAGAACATTTTTAATTTGATTTTGGTTGAGTTTATCAGTTACCACTTTAAAAAATGAAGCAGAATCTGTGGGAGAGGCGTAAATAAATCAAATATTCACTGCTTGAACTTGTGGTGTAGTGATCCATGGAGCATACCTTTTCCCTCAGCTGTGCCTCAGGAAAACAGAATGCTCCAAGGATCACCTCAGGATGCTAGCTTTTACCGTACCACTCGCAGCAGTTAATGTTTGTATACCAGTACCCCTGGATAGGGGCCGTTGGTATAAGTGAATATATTAGTAATTTAATGGGCCTTATTCACGAGTTGGCCATTTTTGTTGAGTTCCCTGTACGTATTTAATTAATTGTTAACTGTTCAATGGGACGGCGCCAGACTATTTATGCAGGCACAATGCAGCCTGCATTTTACTGTCTTTTTAAACCTTGCCTTAAACATTAGGGTATTTTTAATTACAAATTTTAAATTATTCATTGAAGCAGACTGGAACTAATTACAGGAATTAACTTGCTTTCATTTCTCTTTGCAAGTTCCAAAAATTAAGATTTTACCTCACTTTCAATTCAATATGGCCGACTTGTGAATAAGGCCCATTCCGTCCATTACATTTAGAAATTTTGAGAGCTTAGATTATTCTAAGCATCAGTTTGTTGGAATAAATACTTGAAATTTAATGTTGAAAATTCCGTCCAATAAATTTGTTCCTTCACAGATCTGTAAAGAGTTACTATGTATATACATTGTATTTGTTATATATTTAAACCGCCGTCCCGTTTGCTTTTCATTTTCTCAGAATTGTTTTTCAGTATTATAGATTTGTATATAAGTGATTCTCAAATATAAAGTCAAGTCCATCTATGTATCTTACTGTTTATTCAAATTAGTTTTCTGCCGATTGGGGGGGGGGATGATTTTTATGTGAATAAAAAAGCCTTGTGTTGTAAAACTGTGTTTGAAATGTTTGGTTTTTTCTCCGAAAAAGTCTTGCAAGTTGATTTTGAATGTGCATCCTCTTGAATGAAATGTGAACATATGTCAGGTGATTGAACAGGTGCAAGCATTCTTATGCAAAAATTATTCAAATTTTTCTCACAAAAGCCTTACACACCAACACAGTTCACATGTTGAATGTGTATCGTCTTTATTTGAATGCGCACATTTAAATTTAAATTTCCCAGATTAATGTTAGGTGATTGAACAGGTGCAAGCATTGTTAGGCAAAAATTTGCAAATTTATCTCACAAAAGCCTTACACACCAACACAGTTCAAATGTTGAATGTGTATCGTCTTTATTGGAATGTGCACATGCGAATTTGAATTTCCCAGATTAATGCCAGGTCATTAAACAGGTGCATGTATTGTTATGCAAAAAATTATGCAAATATCTCACAAAAGCCTTACACACCAACATGGCACAAGCATTTGTCATTTTATCCACACATTTTTTTATTACAAAAAGTCTTGGAAAACGTGACATACATTCATACAATTAAAAAAAAATGTATTTTCAAAATACAAAAGCATCATGTTTTAAGAAACATCTTACTGCAGAAAGCAACATTATTTTGGTTGGTTGCCAAAATAAATAAAATGCCACTAATCATAAGCATTGGTTGAAGTTTGCACGCTATTACAAAGGTGTTACAAAGAAGAATATGAGAAACTTTATCACAAACAATAACAAAAATAAATATTAAGTAAACACACATACTTAATGACAATGGTTAACCAAATAAGTTTCAATACATGATTTCGGAATACAGGCCTTTCGTATGGCAATACGCAATGTCGATTGCCATAAAAATATATGCCCAAATTATGCAAGAAACAACACTCATTACAAACAATTTCTTAGCACTTTAAATGTGTATCCAGATACACACATAATATATGCACTGCAGTCTCTGTTTTGTCATGCGTTGGTTTAAACTTGATTAAAATATTCAGTAGAAAACACGGTCTTACAAAATAATATACATATATGTACATGTTATGTACATCTTTTAAAAATTCAGCCTTAATCCTTTGGACCCAACTCCACATGACAGATTGCATAGCTAATTACTACATGTTCCTAAAATGTGAGGCATTAAAAAAGACGGCAAAATAAGACGGAACTGGTCACAGGCCATAGTGGAGAAAAAAGCAACCAAAAAAAAAAAAAAAAAAAAAATATGGGTGACTTTTTTTTATTTCAGATTTATTGATATTTATAACCTTTGATATGTCCAATGCACATATTTTAAAGAAACAGTACAAAACTCGTGGAATAAAAGCGTTTTTATGGAAAACCAATTGGTATCTTTCATTTGCACGACTACAAAACTTGAAACTTTAAAGGCCTTTTTTTCTCAGTGTTTTACTTTTAGACATGTCGATGAGAGCACACTTTAAACAGCCATAACTTGTCAACAAAATGTTCAATTGAAGTGCAACAACAGTATTCTAAAGGAGAATTTAACCTCTTTCTTAATACCCGCAAACTCTCATTTCAACCTCTGCCTAGTTCTGTCTCATTTTGCCAGAACGCCTCACATATGTCTGGATATTTTTTATAAACCTACAGGAATTTTTACGAGCGACATCAGTCAATGAGAAAGCCTCTTTGTGGGAGAAAGACCCGCAAACAAAATTATGTGATTTGAGAGTCAAAATGCAACTTCCATTAACAGTTGTATTTATAAAAAAAAAAAACTTTCTTTTTTTCTCTCTATCATAATGCAAACGTTTCAATTGAATTATGTCGAATCCCACCAAAGAAAATGATTCATCCAACCAATAGTAAAACAAGCACATGTAAAAGTTGCATTTCGATTTTAAGGCTCTTCGATTTTAAGTCTGCTGAACTGAATATTTCAACACACACCACTCGCAGTACCTAACAATTTTTTTTACAATCTTAAGCGAGTTGTTTGATTAAAAAATTTCACAAAAATACCGAGGCAAATACAAAGGCACATGTAAATGATGGTCAAATCCCTAGGCATAATGTTAAAAATAATACCAATAGCGATCAAACATGATTATAATATAAAGTACCACACCCACTGCCACACACAAGTAATTATGAGTAAACAATCAGAAATAAATGAATTTGAAGCACAGCCTGGTTAAATATGGCACACACACAAACCTACAAGCAAAATTACCCACTTTATGTAAGAAATGACTTCATCTTGAATATAACTGGCTAATCTTGATGACTTTTTCCTTTAGTTCTGCCTTCTAGAATATTGAACCTAACAAGAGCTGTGCATCGAACCGGTACCTGCCCGCTGATGTCGGGAACCGGTTCCGGATTACGGGATCGGGTACCTGTGCCCAACTTTACAAGTTACTTCTCAGACATGAAAAAGAAAGGGTTTGAATGCCATTTGTGGGAATTTTCAAAGAAAACCAGGCTATATTGAAAATCAAAACACATTTCACGTTTTATGTGCATTTTTAACGTGCAACAGATGACGCTCGCGAAAGTTGTATTTTACACCGCAAAGCTATAAAGCCCTTCAGACAACTTCCGGGATTTGAATTTTGGGGTTGGGTTTCTCTTCTGGGTACCTTGGTTCCCATACTACCTGTAAATACACACACCACTAAACCTAACTGCACGTTCTATTCTTTTTCAATGTTTAATGCTGTCCAGTTTTCAGTCTTCCTAGTTTATTCATCGCAACAGAAAGCAGGTTCAAATCACACCAATTAATTTTGTTATTATTTTATTAAAGTCTCCTTTAACATGAGTTTTCTCCGTACTCTCAGTATTTTTTCACAGAAACCCGAAACCAAATCTTTCATATGTTAAAACGGCACAGCCTTTTTTACAGAGAATCATTTACATGCTTGACGGCACAGTAAAAACCAACAATTATTTCACATCCCTAGACATCATACTATGAAATATCCACATCAAGTAAGGCAACTTGAAACATCAACAGCAAAAATGCTAAAAGTATCAATTACATTGGATAAACTTTTTGGCACTTCCTTTCCTGTTCATTTTTTATAAGATTTATAACAAATATTACAATAGACCATTAACAAACTCCATCAAAAACGAAGGCAAAACTACTGATGCATAGAATGGTAATCGATTCTCAGAGAAGGTATGGGAAAAAGTTAAGGTGTGTGGAGTGCCTTGGCCTCATGGGAGTGCCTTAGCCTCGTGGTCTGGAGCGTTGAATTCACGGTCTGAGTTCACGATGTCGACGTGACAAATCTCATTTTTGGAAGTTGAAGGTGGTATCTCTCTTTCCAGGAGTCTGGTTTGGCACAGTTTTCGACCCGAAGACTTTGAACACAAGTTCTGTGCCCACCTCACACTTTTATGTACAAAGGAGTTTTTATTTCTTCATAATTTACAGTGACTAAGCTTGTTTTGGCAAGCTTTTTTGGAGTGTTATAGGGTAGTCCTTTGGTTGGAGATGACCACAGACGTAGGGCTTTCCGGTGGCTGTAAGTCACTGTGTGTCTCCTCCTGATCCAGCAGGACCGCGATGGCTGCCAGGCTGTCCTGCTTCATCCTGCTAGGCCCTCGAGAGGAAGACATCGTCACCTGGGAGAAAGAGAACCAAACTTAAAACCGATGTACTGTACATGTTCTGTGTCTTAAAGGAATTGGATGTGAAGATATAACCAGGGTTTCCCTTAACACTTTTTTTCACTAAGCCAGCCGGACTAGTGAACCAGACTCTTATCTAGCCGCGGGCCTTTTCACTAGTCCACAATAGCGTTTGTAAATGTTTGCACCAGAGTTACATAAACAACAATGTTATTTATTTACAATAATTTTGATTCGCCAGGCTGGATACTTAGGAATAGTTTTGACTAGTCCGCTGCTGTTTTTAGTCACATTTGGCAAGTGGACTACTGCTAAGGTCGAACCCTGGATATAATAATGCTAACAGTGACCAAACTGGAGAACAAATGCTGCTAGGATTGAAACGTCAGACCGTCTTCATTTTTTTAAATTTGTTTATTTTAGGTCAATCCTGTCATTCAGCAGTTTGAAGCATTTTATTCATTGTCATGGAAAAGATACTCGACAACGTTTTGAGCTCTGACGGTGTTCCAAATGCCGTTTCTGCCCAAAAGCTTTCAAATGTACAAGCATTGGGTATTTTCAATGTTCCATCTTTTTAGCTACACATGTGCGGATAAAAATTGAAGGTTTTTAAAATTGGCTCAAACAGTTGACTCACAGAACTTTCAAATATGTGAATATTGTTTTGTCTGATATTTCCACAACGTCATACACCACTGTACACTATGAAAACTAGTAACTTAGCTTAAAGACATAGTCCATCATTTGTAATTTGTGCATTTTGTTCGTTTGAAGCACAAAAGTGTTCAAAATCTAATGAAGGATACTGAACAACTAACCTAATGAAGTTTCAGCTCAGCTTCAGCTGTATATTCCGAGAAAAACAGCATTCTAGGATCTTAATTTCAAATCAAAAGTTTGCTAAATCATGTTTTAAATTGTTTTGAATTGCAGCTTTACGCGATGTCGCGCACTGATCCGACGAATTATAGCAACCGCGTGCGCCTGTGCGTCGTGCCAATGCTTGCGCGCGCTGCGCCGAATAACAAAACGAACTACTAATTTTAATTTTCCTACGGTGCTTCTTAAGACTCACTGTTGGAAATGCCTTCTTTCATTGATTTCTTCAAAATGAGAGCTTGCCAGAAAGAATAATTTCACAGGGAGTTTAGTCCCCTTACTATCTTTCAACCAGTATGTTTTTCAACAATAATTACGCCAGTTACTTTTTTGGATAGCTGCAAATGATGGACTCCGGCTTTAAGTTAGTGTTCTCTTTGACTTTGACTTATCGCAGCATTTTTCTAGAGCCCATGATTATGATTTTTTTACTCAAGTTGTTTTTGCAAACTGAGGTCACACTGGTCATATTAATGGTCACGGATGACACAAGAGGACAATATTTTGACGCTAATGTTGAGTCCCACGCAAATTTCTAATGCAAATGTATTGCGTACCCCCTCCCCTGTAAACTGTTCAAGTGAAGAATTTCTGACTCTCACCTTGTTATAAAGCTCATCAAGTTTATCCGGTGTGGTCTCTGAGCTTTCTAGCTGCAGATTGGAGGAGCCAGGGTGATACTTGGGATTCCTCGGACCTGAGACAGGAAAACAAAAAAACAACAGTTATTACAAACAAATGTTCACAGACAAATGTTCACTTTCTTGTGATAATTCTGACCACTTTGAAAGTGGGAGGGGATGGCATATGTGCGTACTGGTTAGGGTAGGCATTACATTCACTGTGTGGACTTCCGAACAAAAGAGGTCCACATAAACCAGGTAGCAGCGACGTTGTGTGGACTTACCCACGTCCACACAGTGTTTCCCCATTTCTGGAAAACAGGTTTAGAGGCATTTTGGGGTTAGGTTTATTTGTGGCAAAATGAAGAGAAACACTGAAGGGAATCATAGAAAAAAAGTTGGGTTGAAAGAGTTTTCACAGTTTGAGAAAAATGAGTTTTTGCACTGGTGTTTCTTAACTACACGAAACCAAGGGAATGTCCACACTTGGTAGGTAACGTAAACATGGGTGTGCGCGTATTTCACTATTAAGTATATGCTCGACTATTACTTCTGAATCCACACGAACCGGTAATGTCTTCGCATGAGTAACAGGTGCCTTCAGCAATGTATTTGAGATTGAGAACACCCAGTGGTATCCCACAGCTCTCCGCTGTAACTTCAATGCCCCAGGACATTTTTCAATAATTTGCGATTATTCCCAACTTGATGAAATATTTGAATATTCAATTTCGAGACGTGCTGATCAAGTTAAGCATGCATATAAGTGTGGCATTTGAAAAACAATAAACCCATGTAGTTTGTACGATAAAACAATAACAGCGTGGACATTTTTCATCATCTCCTCGGGATCACTCAAATTGTCCGAATATTTGAATTGAAAAACACACTTTTCAGATATTCAATTAATCAAAATCGAATATTGGTATACAGGGTGAATAAAAAAAGGCGAAACCCAAATGTCAGGACCATTATTTAGTGAAGTTCTGCATGTAGTCCTTCCAAAATCTAAGATACAAAAGCCCAATTCATAAGCTTTCTTTTAGTTCAAGAATCATTCAAATCACTCATGTACTTTTCAAGTTAAGGAATTTTAAACACACCCACCGTTTTAAAGTTCTGTCCACGGATCACAAGAAGGTAAGTGTTCTTTCAACAAAACGAAAAACAAATCACATAGGGATTCGTGTGAATTGTTTTTGTTTTGCTGAAAGAATGCACACCTTTTTTGTGATCTGTGGACAGAACTTTAAAATTGTGTTTAAAATTATGTAACTTGAAAAGTACATGAGTGATATGAATGATTCTTGTACCAAAAGAAAGCTTATGAATTGGGCTTTCATATCCTACATTTTCAAGTACTACATGCAAAACTTCACTAAAATAATAGTCCAGAGATTTAGGTTTCACTTCTTGCACTTCTTGTCAATATTTTTACACTGTGAAAGATCTAAGCTGAAACCGCCTTTAAGCAGAGTCTTCCGCCTTCATCAATGTTTACAGTCATTTCCGCTGTATATCCAGTGGCATGTCATTTAGCACCAAAATGCATCACCAGGAAATACACGGGTTATTCACGTTCAGTCTTTTTTTATAAAACCGTTGAATGAACTGACACACATTTTTCAACTCGCTGTCATCTCCCCATGAATACTGAATCGAATATGGACTGTTAAAGGGTCTATACAATGACTTTTGCTTTAATAGAAATGTGCCCTGTGCAAGTTTCTCCTCCTCTTGAATGTATGAAAACTATCTGACATCTCTTCTGAGTTAATTTTATCAAAACGAAAAATTAAAATCCAGGCCCTTCAGGACAACAGAGGGCGCTGTTGCTGTGATGTCATTTCAGGAAGACACTGTTCAGTTTAGGGGTTTTGTGTTCAATTTGTAAGCCCAACAATTTGCTCACTGAAAACATCTGTGAGAAAAGTTTGCTCAAGTTGCCTTACTACCCTTCACTGACACAACAACAAATCACCAAAGAAATGAAAATTCACGACAGCAAAATACCCAAAAGTCTTGCAACTTGTGGTGCTGAGATAGCTGTAACATTGAGGTTTCTGCCTTGAATCAGACCTGCCAACCTTTGGGATCGAAAAACTTTATTCTGAATCTCCGAAAGTTGTATTTTTCACACAAAAAACTGTATTTTTCAAAAAATATACATAGACAAGCTATACGTTATAAACAAATGTGGCTGCAATGCTCTCGTTACTACATCGTTATTAAAGTTAAAAAAAAATGACCAGTTTTTGATATCGTGTACACATGTACATTGTACAGAGGGAACCGCGAAACCAGAATCAGTTCGTGTATGTATCGTTTGCTGCGTGCATGTGTATGTACTGTACGTTGATTCAGTCAATTTTATCTAGCATAATGTACACCCACGGCCGCTTTGAACTAGGATTTTTTCAGGCGTGTTAAAATGGTAAAAACCAGTATTTCATGGGGGAAAACGTACGGTCGTATTTTCAACAAAATTCCCGTACGAAATACGGCAAAATCATACTAGTCTGTGGAATACTCATGAATATGGCACCAAAAAGGCACCAAAATACCCTTGAATATGGTAGAACAAAATTACAAATAAGGAGTAAATGGGACATGAAAAAAAAAAAAAGAATGTGTCATAGGATTCCTGGGTAATGATTGATTTAAAGAAGGCAGGAAGGTTCCTGTTACTACTGCCTGTTGAGTCTGGGCATACGGCATTGTGCACTGAGAAAACAAACTGTGGTCATGCAAGAATAAGTCCAAATTTCTGCGTTTAAACTGAAAAGCCTGATACTATGCATCTACCTAAATAAACTACTGAACATCTAAATACTTATTCCAAACTTACTCCTAGCCGGCGTGTACAATCTCCCGTTAGCTCTAGGCACGGTGCCGGACCCTTGATCCACTGGCCCGGCCCCGTACGCGGCGTAAGCCTCAGCCTCACGACGGTGATCCATGGAAGGGGAGGAGCTGGCCCGTGGGCGGTTGGGATCTCCGGGCCGGTCCACCATGCCGCTCAGATCGGCGAACTCCACGGGCGGGGAAGGGGTAGGGGTGGAGACTGAGGGGAGGCGAGAGGGGTTCCTGGAGCTGGCTGCAGACGGCGATTTGGAACTGGTAGAAATGGAAGGGAAAGCATGGATTTCGTTTGATAGGATTAGTCTGAACTTCAAGTGAGAAATTTCAGGACATGTATAGACTCCATAGGCCTAATTCTTGAATGAACGAAGGAATGTAACAATGCCATTTGAAGGTGTAAAAAGACGTGGATCCAAGATTATTGATGTCAGTTTACATATTGCTTACTGCTTAAAAATTAGTTTATAAAATATTCATTTTTAGATTTAAGTGAAGTTAATAAACTGCTTCAAGAAATGAAATTTTTCTGGTGTTTATATCCAGAAAATGCCACTGCATGCATTGCTACAGTGTCATCATTTGCTGTTCCAACGAAATGAAAACACTTCGGCCAATCATAGCCCTGATTAATGTTCGGCATGGGAGCACAAAAGTCTGACATGTGTGCACACGCATACTAAAATTTGTATCCTTGTGGAGACATTTCTTTGTTCTTGTGTAGTAAAGTTTTCAAGTTTGAAAGTGTAGTTTCAAAATGCTCTTATTTTAACCAAAATTAATTTCCTTGGCTGAAATTCGGACTTGATGATATCCTTTTCTAAAACTCTTCCATTTGCGACGGATCAACCCACCTTGGAAATTCCTAGTTTTTGAGTAAAATCCATATATCTATTTCGTGAAAACCTTGTGGAGACTTAGTCATCTATAGAAATTGCCCTGTGGAGACGTATACAATCTTTTGTTCCTTATTGTGTGCATGTCTCCAGAGGGCACGGTGTGTCAGATCACATGTATGATGCATGTGGCTGGAATATGCATTGTTGCATTAAAAGAGGCACACGCATTGTGGTCCCATGTGCGCAGTGGGCTAGACTTAACCCCTTAGTCACTGTAGCACCAAAAAAAACCACGCACTCTATGGTTGTATCGATTCTTCAGTGAATAAACACAATGTAATACAATGTAGTACAGGTGCTTTTGGGTTAAATAGTAGTATTTAAGGTCACAATCGGTCAAATTTTCTTCCTTACCTCCTGGCCTACTGTGTACAAACCAATGGCGGTCTTGACCAATATTGACCCAAGTAATAACAAGGCTGACAATGCATGTTCCCATTTTGAATGAATCAATCTATTTTACATGTATTCCTGAAATAGTACTTTGAACCTAATACACACAGTCATGTTGAGACTACCTTTACATATACATGCAAAGTGCACACAACCTCAGTAATATGACACAATGTGGCTAAATATGGCAAGTTATATGCATCACCAACAGCATGCAGTATTCAGCTAGGCTTCAACCACCCTTCCCTTAATGCTACCTGTATAACAGGACTTAGCAACTTTAATGACTTGTTGAGATATTCGTGAGTTTCTGGCGTCACTTACTTTGGTCTGGATGACATATCCAGGATGATGTCATCGCTCCCACTGCGCTGGCTGGATGAACACATCTGATCATTGTCGATCACTAAAAATAGAAGAAAAATTGCACAGAGAAGGTTCTGCGTTATAAAGTAGGTGCAAAGGAACGGCCCTGGGAATTTGTACAAACTTTAATGAAAGTGTGAAGACTGTTTGAATTTGATCTGTCAACAGTTGCTCACCAGGAGACATTGTGACCTTTGAACACGAATGCGAGTTCTAAAATGTGAAAGTTGGTGATCTTTTAAAACATTCATTATTGTAAAACAAGAAAGATACATGTGTTCATGATCTGATACACCGTGCCCTCTGGAGACATGCACACGATAGGGAACAACAGATTGTATACGTCTCCACAGGGCAATTTCTATAGATGAATACGTCTCCACAAGGCTATCACGAAATAGATATATGGATTTTACTCAAAACTAGGAATTTCCAAGGTATGTTGATGTGTCGCAAATGGTAGAGTTTTAGAAAAGGGATATTTAGTCCGAATTTCAGCCAAGAAAATTAATTCTGGTTAAAATAGGAGAAATTTGCAACTGTACTTTCAAACTCAAAAACTTTAGTACACGAGAACAAAGAAATGTCTCCACAAGGATACAAATTTCAGTATGGTCGTATAAATTGTGTTCATGTAAAAATTTCTTGAAAACAAATTGTCTCTGAAGGAAAGATAAATTAAATACAATTTTTTTAAGCACCACAACATTTCTGTTCACTTCCTAGACTGATTGATATCTTTGATTTTTGTCTCCCCTAAATGCCTCGTTGTAAACTCACCTTCATTATTTCAACACTTCAACCAGAACGTATGTGAAAATATTACATTTTCACAGACCGTTTTCACAAACTTATCCATTTTAAAACCAGTTAAATGATTAACTTCAAAAGGAATTAAAAAAAAGAAGTTGTATTTGAACATTGAGATCACACTACGTAAAAATAAAAATAGAAAAAACACTTAAAAATATGTGTATGACATAAAGAGGATGAAAAGTTTACTCAAAAATTGGTTTAGTTTAAAAATTAGTTTGAATTGTCACATTCCCAGCGTCACATTCCTTTCCTTAAACTCCAAATGCATTTGCAGTACAAACTTCGACTGCAAACTTAAGTTTGCATGTAGACAAAAATATGTCTACACACTGAACGTGGTAAATGGTCAGAAAATGTCAAATGTCTGACACTAATTTCACCCGATACATAAATGCTTTTTTTTTTTGGAGCAATACGTGATGCAACGTACAGTAGTTGGATTGCTTGCGGGCTTTCTCGTCGCCGCGTCGTTTGCACCAGACCAACAGGACGACGATGGCTAGACACAGGGCCGCGCCAGCCAGGCTGACAGCCGTGATGAAGATGATCAATGAGTTCCTGACAAGTCAAAGAATAACGAAAAAAAACCAATTAATCATAAACTAAAGCAGGATACAAGCAGACACGTCCGATTACTGTGCTTTGGTAATCAGGGAGGGTTCTGAAGGTGGAGGGCGAAAGCCCCTCCCCCCCCCCCCCCTCCTGATTTTCTTTGTCCTCCAAGAATTCATGAAAAACATAATTTCTTTAAAGGGAAAATACAACATTTGCAAACATCAAAAAATAAAACTACCAAGTCATTTTGAAATACCTTGCTGGACTGTTAGTGAATGACAGTGTAAATCATCCTGTAAAATCATGGCACCTGGTATACTGTCATTTTCAAGAAAAGTGGTATTTTTGTATCAATTTCCAACGCTGATCGGCCGATGAGCGTTGGAAAAAACTGGCTTTTTTTCAAATACTGGCCCCCAATTGACCATCGCACTTGTTTGCAATCGATTATAAACCTATGAACGGGTACGAGCCAGCTAGACTGGTTCCCTGACCTTACAATTCCCCAATATATGTAAACTGCTCTGTTTCTTCTTATATGGAGTCAGGGAACCAGACTACAGGAAAATGATTGTTTTTCTTGGTTTTTATAGCATTTCCTAACCCAAAACCTAAAAAAAGTCAGTGTTAGTTGTTACTATATTTGCTACATATTTCCTACCCCCCAATTCCATCTATTTCTGAAAATTACAGCAAAAGCAAATGACGTATGTTCCCTTTAAGTTAAAACATTTTGAGACATTCAACAAATATGCATATCTGAAAGAAAAAAAAATGCGTACTGAAGTAAAAGTGCAATGTACAATCGTACATATAGGTCTTCCAAAATTGATTAACCCTAACTCCATAGCACGATTTACTAGGAACCATACCCATCCTGGCAAATTCCAGCACCCTATGGGAAACTGCAAACACATATTTTGACTTTGATTCTGGAGGTATGCCAACCCAATGTAAAAGACTGTCATTGTACCCATCCTGACAGATTCCAACAAAACATGCCATTGGAGTTTGATGGGTTGAGTTCTGTTAGGGTTAATGTTTGTTAATTTGCAATCAGTTACATATCCGTGAAAGAGCATTGTATCTTCCCGAGGGACAAACTGGGATCAAACCACAAGGGGGTGCAAGTCAAAACGCATTACTGAACATTTTTAGAAGGGAGAGCTTTTAATGAAAAACTTGCTTTGCATCAAAAAAAAGTTGTACTCATCAAAATGTAATAAACCTTGAAGTCCACTGTCCAAATGTTTAGTAATTATTAAGTTAGATGTTTGATATCGAGTAAGCATATAATTGCATCGAAACTACAAATGCTAAACTTTAAAATGACTCAAGTTTAACTTCCTGAATTTTGCAAGGGACTCTAAAAAAAAATCACTTAAATGTAACTGACACCATTTGCAAACAAAATGTGGATTTTTTTTCTGATTCACGGAACAACAATACAATGAATCTGAAGCACGTTATTAAAAACTAACTTGTTAAATTTCAGCTCAGTAGATATTACTTTTTGAGAAAACTTTGATATTTTTCGTATCTTCATTTTTCGTGACGCAAAGTGTTGGTTTCTGGTGAACAGGCGATGGTTTGGTCCTGACCACCGCACGGAAATGATAAAAAATTCCACTTTTCTTGAAAAGGACAGCATACTAGGATTTCATAGGATGCATGATCCTATTATTTACTTACAATCAAGTAGAATATGTCATGGTATTTTGGCAGCTTTGTTTTTTTAATGTTTGCATATAGCGTCCACTGCCTTTAAAACCAGACAACTCTCAATCCTTGAAAAAAAAAAGGGCACGCACTAACTTTACAACTGTAGTTTTACAACTTCAAGCAAAATTAATTTGAGGCTGCAAAGTATGATCCCCAGGAATGATACATCTGCAAATGACACACTGTGATTATTCACATTCCCACGACGATTCCGTCACCTAACTTGCATTGCATTTTCTGGCTATGATTGAAGACTACATCAGTCAGAGTCAGACTTAGGGGAATATACCCATTTCCGTTTTTGGGGAGAAGACAAAATTGAAGAAGAGTGCAAAATCTTTAGGCTTTGAGTTTGCTTGTTTCCGGATATTTATCAAAATACGATGACAGTTTGCTTAAGTGCAGTGTTATAAGAACTTCAATCACCATGTAGTCTGAGTATCAACCGTTGTCCAACAGAGCTCCCTGGCTAACCAATGTCTCATGTATGTCAGTAATGTAAATTTTGTGCGACCCCACGCGCCAAGGAGTCGACTTTAAAAGTTGTGTCTACTTTAGAAATTGTGACCTCATTTCAATCAGAAATTTGGACTAAGCTGTTGATTGGCTGCCATGTTTTTTGTAATACAACAACAGGTTATCGAAGACCTGGCTGAATGGTCAGAATCTCGAGGTCAAGACGCGGTCTTGTTTTGCATAATTAATCGCCGAATCTGCTCGCATATCATAGACCACTGCTGTGCAAGGGGATATTCCATAGACTACTACCATGTGAGTCATTTTATAAATTTAGGGTCCAAAGTTTGACATTTTTCTGTCTCTGTTACCTTGGTACTTTGTAATTTGCCATTCAAGTATCAATAAAAATTACTTTTTTTGTGTTGGGTGGGTAGTTGGAATCCTCAACAGTTTGGTTTGATGAAAATGGACTTTGTGTAGAATTGAAAATGTTGAGGATTCCAATTGCTTAAACACTGTGCAACATTCCTTCAAAGACCTTTAGCTCAAAAGTGGCTCTGGAGACATGTGACTCATTTTTGCAGAGTGGGTCACATATATATAAATAAATAAATACAAATAAAGGAAATTGCAGAAGTAGAGGCGTGTGTGTTACTCACAGTGGATAGGCCACACCACCTGGGAACTGACTAATCGGTGCTTCATCTGTAGCAGACTGTGTGGTGATGCTGGGTGGCGTGGTACCATGCAAAGATGGCGGGGTCTCGGTTGCACGGGCCTTGCCTGGAAGGAGACGGGTTACAAGACGAGATAATCAATGACAAGCTTCCAACAAAAACCTAGGCATTATTACAGAATAATTTCATTTTGAAAAAAAATGAATGTGACATTTTGTAGGAAACCATGAAGTATCAAACATGAGTAACGAATCAAATTTTTATTAAATCAAAATTCAGAATTGGTACCTCCAAATTCAAGGGATAGACTTTGTGTACCATAGCTTTATTAATTAATATTGAAGAAGAACTCTTTCTTCTTAAATCTGAGTAAGTGCCCTGGCTTGGCAGACTTCAGTGCTGCATCATGTCCTTAAAGGCTCATTTGTATTTATCCAGAAAGTAACCTACCAAATTATTATCAAAAGCTTACTTAGATTAAAGATCATTCTGGTACTAAACACCCCGTGAAATTGTTCAGTCTGGCTTGCTGTCATTTAGAAGAAATCCAGAAATGTAGGTGATTTCCAACAATCAGTCCATTGACTGATTTTTGGCAATAAAGAGTGCCATAGACAAAATCATGTTTCATGATCAAAAGGTTGTGCATGGTTTTCACTGTTTTCTCAAAAAGTGTAATATTCACTGAGCTCAAACCTCAACAGGTTAGGTTTTGAACATTCTTTGTCGGATTTTGAGTGGTGTTTTTATTGGAAATGAAAAAAATGCATGAAAGCAAATGATCTAAATATGCCTTTAAGATGCTTGCTTTGAAAAGTAGGCCACACAGTGTCTTCTACGCTTCCGGTAAGGAGTCTGTATACTCCCTACCCACCATTTGGGTGGACAGGTTTATGACTATGTGTTGAACTCATTCCCCCAAGACACGGTTCCATTTCTGGTTAGCGACAGGTGTGGGCAGTATTGCGTCAGTCGTTGAAAACATCTATCCATTTGCACACAAGGGCCCAGTTTTTTGGCTCTGCTTCTGCACTTACGATCACCATTTTGCGCTAACATGAAAAATCATGTAAACACAGAATCCTTAGTTACGGGATGTATGCATGGATGCGCATAAGCCACAATAACTAGCTAACCTGTGAAATACGCTTACAATAGGCACAGAATTTTCTGCTACTGTAAGCACGGATTATTCACTATAACAGTAAGCAGAGCCCTGAAATTGGGCCCACCTTTTAACAATTCAACACTCCAGACTTAAGAACCACTGAGTTTTAAGTAAATAGGTCTGGAACTAGACAAGGCAATGTTAGAAGCTCCCAGATGATGTGTTCCATTTTACATGCATCCTGATTCAAAGCCATATAGGATCATTTGCTTTTATGCGTTTTGTTCCTTTCCAATAAAACAACTATCCAAAATCCAACGAAGAATGTTCCAAACCTTACCTGTTGAAGTTTCAGCTCAATGGCTATTACACTTTTCAAGAAAACAGTGAAAACCATGCACAAAGTATTGATAATGAAACACAATTTTGTCAACAGCACTCTCTATCACAAAAATCAGTCAAACGACTGATCAACTACATTTCTTGATTTTTTTTCAAAATGACGGCAAGCAAGACAGAATAATTTCACGTGGTGTTTTAGTATCAGTACAATCTTAAATCAAAGTAACCTTTTCAGGCGCGGATCCAGAGGGGGTTTTGGGGGTCCAAAAAACAAAACAAAAACCAGCTCTGTCAAAAAAAAAGAAGTCTCATACAAATTCCTAAAAAATAAGTCGAAAACTCCCCCCTTGCTGTGACACCCCCAAAAAATTATACTGGTCTAATGTCCGCCTGTTCAAAATACGGTACACCATTCTGTAATGAGTGTTAATAATCGTCGAATTTGAACAGCGCCCCCTATTAAAATTGGTACCAGCCCCCCCCCCCCCCCCCCCCTTCAGTTTTTGATTTTACGGAGGCCAAGTCCCCGGAGAAAAAACACGTGTGTACATTTTCAGATTTTTTGGCTGATGAAACCCCCCCCCCCTGCGAAAATTCCTGGATCCGCCCCTGCTTTTGATGATAATTTTGTAGGTTACTTTATGGATAAATGCAAATGATTCTACATGCCGTTAAACCAACCCCAAAAATGAGCGGCCAAAATGAACTCACCTGTAGATAGGAACAGTTTGAGCGGATCCACCCCCATGCCTGCACTTGTCCTGGCCGCTATCTCGATGGAATAGTCTGTTTCCGGTCGGAGTGACGTCAAGTTATACCATGTGTCCGTCGTCTCTACGCGCCCGTGGGTCTCGTTGCTATAAATAACCTCGCGTCGTCGTCTTGAGCTATCTGTGTTTAATTTTTAGAATGACAGAAAGGGCAGAGAGATAAATAGTTTATTCAGAGGGCAAGGAAGAGTTGAAGATAGGGCTTTTACGGTCCAGTGAAAGACTTTGACGTTGTAATACTTGTAATTTCAACGATAGGGTATTACTCAGTCATGGCGATATCCCTAACGATGACGATGTGATTATGAATTTAAATTGGCATGAGAAGATTGTGCAGATTTTTTTATCAACATACTTCCAAATCACAAACAAAGTCAAGGTTGGCGAGTCAGGTTGGCGCAGTGGTTTATTTCCTCGCCTTCCACCACCACTGTGACCCGGGTTTGATTCCTGTTCTGGTTCACATGTGGATTGGGTTTTCAGTCCCGACTTGATGCAGTGGGTGCCCCAAGAATATTTTTCAAACTTTTCCATCGTTCGTTATCTTTTTGTGCACATCTAATGGGAAATCATTTGCATGTGTTGGCAACGTTTGCAATAAGTGAAGCGCTTAGTGCACTGCTTTGGGTGGACCATCTCTGAATCATACTTAGTGAATATCACAGTAATTGTGTGACGAAAACAAAATCCCAAGCAATTGATATAATCATAGTGTCACAAACATGTTATCCTTGAAACAGATAGTTGTTAACAGCTTTGGGAGAATAACAGTTGACTGTTATGCAATCACGTCTGTCGCCTCACCATGGACAATTATATCCAATTTTAACAAGGTGATACAATTAAATTTCAGCCTCCAATTTCCTGTACTTAAAGCGTTGTGTTGACTGAAATCAAGAACCATTAGGTAAAGAATTAAAACACTTTAAAGCTCAATTTAGTTTGGGGCCTGTTTTGTATTAAAAAGATCTTTTGGGGATAGTACAGAATTCTTTTTGCTAGCGCTGTTGGAACCGAATGATCATTGTAACAGCAGAATATTGCGATGCAAAGAGCTATAAAAACGTGCCTAGAAGACAACAATTTGTCCGAATCCTTTAGCATTAATCTTCCCTTTCTTAAGTCACTCCAAAAGAGGTTTAATTTGCATTTCTTAGATAGTTCTTTTTTTTTCATTTGCAAAAAGTGTAAAGCTGATATTCAAATTTAAAAACAAAATAATAGCCAGTGTTTGTGAAATTTGAATTTTTTTTACCAGTGAAATTTATATTTTTAAAATGGTGCTGGCAGTTACTTGGCAACTCTTCTAGCAACTTTCTATTCCTAAATCATCTTTATCAACAATGTTTTGAGAATTAAAAATAACGACCAGCTACTTCATCATGGTTCCCACAGAAGTCTGAAAAACCAAATTCCACGACTTTCCCAGCACTTTCCAGGACTAAAATATGACAATTTCCATGACATGTAACGCCATTTTGCAGAGAAAAGTTGTTTGGTTTTATATATAATAATAATTTAGGAGGCTAATCATCCTTACTCGCAGCTGGTATGCTGAATTGCAAAGGACGCGGCTACAACGTGGTCGGGCCGCTGGCACGTAAAGGTGCCTATGGCTGCCGGCCACATCGACCCATAAATGACCACGGAGCACAGCCTGAGATCGAAAGTGTTTGATTTTTCCGGAGGGAGGAAAACCGGAGGGCCCGGAGAAAAACCCTCGTGGCACAGGAGAGAACCAACGCACAACTCTACTCACATGCGATCCGCGGCCAGGATTCGAACCGTGGTCACCTTGGTGACAGGCGAGCGCTTTACGCACAACCCACCCATGCCAGCATCTGGTATGATACTGATGAACCCCTGATGTTAAGCTAGCCATTTGTTAGCTTTTGAAAATAAGTTTGAATCAATAATGGTCTCCTCCTCCCCTTACAGCCATCCTCAAAGCGGCCCATCAAAAATTACCCTTACACGATCTTGATTTCCTTGACTTTTCCATGAGTTTGTATTTTTTCCAATTTTCCATGGCTTTTCCAGGACAACTTTTTTCCCAGGACCTTCCATGGTTTTTCCACGACCGTAGGAACCCTGTTCAATGTTCTTGGAACTCTTCTGCAGACAACTGCAAACATTTGCAATGCCTCCGCAAATTCTACGCCACGCATTGTGTAAGCAATGCACGGTTTGTCGTGTTTAATAGTGAAAGTGGTTGCAGCAGTACTACTCAAATCGTGAAGTAATTTCCAGAAGAAGTTAGAGCATCCACTTTTAGGTGACCTTTCCAATCAGAATGATGACTAACCCCAGACCGCACACTGACCAGACATACGAAACCAAAACGGAGGAAAAACAGCATGGAGAAGCCCACACAGATGGAACATAACAAGCCTCCCCGAAAAATTTGTGAGCACTGCTCCAAAATTTAATTTCCTGGCCGGTCGCAAAGCTTCAGCAAAGGCTTCCGTTTGATTCTGTCTTGTGGCTTTCATGTTGTGAACAAGTCCGACTATCCTTCCGTCGAAAAATTCACTCTGTGTATGGTTTTTACCAATATGCAGTTTGTACACACTTGGACTGGAAGTGCACGCACTTGGGAATATGGCAACAGCATGGGTTTCTCAATGCCCAAACTTAATTGAACCCTCCTACGCAAACATACATTCTGTGCCAAGTTGTCCTTTCAGTCAGAATCCATCAAGCGACTGTTTTCAACAGTTGAGAATTCCCAGTCTACCTAAAGCATTGGATTGACTGGCTGTGACTGTTTATGTAACTCGATACAGCTTTGCTTTGACTGTGGGTAATTGATAAGCCAGCTGTGCCCACAACTTGCCTGCTTTGTCTGTTCGTGGTCTGTTGACTGAGTTTGACTAGTCACAGTGCTTGCTTGACATAATATGATCTGACTGCTGGTGACTAGCCTGTGTTCTAGCAAGGGAAGTGGATGGAAATTTTGACTGTTTGTGACTGTTTAAACAACAGGGGGTAAAAAGGCAAGCCTAATAAGGCCTGTCCCACAATCCACAAAATTGTATTTAATTGATTCCGAATGGCTATTCACTGGAAGTCTTTTCAGGCATCTGGTCTACACAATGGGCCGGATTTAGCCCATTCATTGGCACTACGAGGTAATCCTATACAATAGCACTGCCTGGCTCTCTTCATCAATCTACAAGCAGTGTACCTGTAAGTCGTAAGTGACACTCAGTCGGTCAGACAGTCCTTTGGGACAAGCAAAGAGCCCTTTAAAATTGACACGCTGTCTGCAATTTCAGGGCGGTGAAAAAGGCCTGTTCAACTTCACTGACGATGAACATTCAGTTCAGAATCTAAGCGCACCTCAAACCACTTTTAGGCAGAATTATGAATTTGGCGTTAAGAGAAAAATAACAGTTATGTTTGCGGTTGCACCAAGTGACAAGAGATCTCTTTTGTGAGTTTGCGAGGTCTTGAAAAGAACCAGAGAAGCCCAACATTTTGGCCAGTATGCTCAGGAGACTCTATCATCAGAAGACTCTTGCTGCATACCCCACGATTCAACCCTTCAAATCTTTTCTGACAAGAAACTGACAGGGAAAAAAAAAGGCCCACAATCAAGAGTTTAAATCGGGTGATATTTTAAATAAATAAATTAAGCTCTCTACAGGCAATTAATTACAATGGGCCAAAATTGAAACCTTATGCCAAAGACAACCCACCATAATTGACTTAACTTTAAAAAAAAAAAACATTTTGCAGGCTCTTGAGGCATAAAGTTTAAGTACGATGACCTGTCGTTCATCACGCTAATCTTGGTCTGTTTATCTTGTCTTTCTAATTTCCTGAAGTGGTGATCTTGCTAAGCCCATTTGGCATGTTTGGAGATAACGATGGTCAACAAAGTTCACATAAGTCAGTATTTTCTGACAGTTTTGCCTGGTCACTCTTCCGATGAAGGTGCAGTTCTTAGAATCAGAGATGAATGACATTAGAAGCCAAGACGTACATGTCTCCTTTTAAATAAAATGTAAGTTGTCATTGTTGCTGTTATAAAACAGCCATGTTTGCTTTTCCGTGCTGTGATTTTTGTCTTACAATTTTTCTTTTTTTAATGATACACCACTGTATGTAGCAAAAGAAGTCCATCCTTTGTGCTTTTCTATGACTTAAGTATATCAACAAAGCCATCGCGTGCAAGAAACTCACGTCCGCAGACTATTAGAACAGCGCAATCAAACGACCGTAAATTGTTATTATACTTAGTGGGCTAAGTAACGGAGTAACGGACCGTCGGATTCTGTCTCCAGCACATCCTGGGACCTATATGTGCATCGTACCTCGTCGTTCTGCTTAAGTTAGTAAAAAAATCATGGCTAATTACTCTGTAGTAACAGTAAGCCTATTTTCAAGGATTATAGAAAAAAAAATTGGTGCGGTGTGTCACCATTCACTCTGAACTTAGGGGTGCACACCAGTAAATAGGCCTAAATCCATCCGCCGAGCTCATGAATAAAAGTTATACCCTCAAAATATTCTATATTAGAGAGTTCTGAGAGCATGGTAATACTGCATACACATTGATTATTTACCACATGAAATTTGTTTTGAAGTGTATTGAATCCAATCTATTGTTGGATTACCAGAACAGAATGCTACAGTGAATTTAATCCTCAAAATGACAAATCAAAGGTGGAGTCACGACTCTGATCAAAATTTGGAATTGATTCTATTCAATTCCGACCTGGACTAGCCGAACCTACCCGGCAGATCACAAACATGTGTAGCATAACATCTATTTGAAATCCTTGACTGTTGGCGCTGACTAAGTCAAAACCACAAGCCGAAACCTCTTCATCATTGTCTCGCCAGACCTATGTTGTTGACCTTTTGCCTCAGACAAAAACAAAAGGGCCTTGGACTAATGAGGTTTTAATTGATGGAGACCAGCTGCTGTAGATATCAATTGTAAAACCTTACGAAACAAGTACGTCTCGCAATATCTTTTACATTGGCAGATTTGTGGGTGGGGATTGGGAGTGGGGATTGGGGGTGGGGAAGGGGCTGAGGTTAACACCCCCCACCCTCCAACCACCACCCCTGAGTGTGCATGAGTAGCCCCTCTTAGCCCTCCCCCACGCC